CGTGGCCCGCCTATGGGCCCCAGGCAGGGGCTTAGGCCTCCGCATGCATGTGATGCAGTGGGGGGGCGCCTTTCCCCACAGGCCCGGCACAGATCTCCCCCTCCCTTTCTGCAGCCAGTGGAGAGACACCCCTCCCTCCCCCGCCCAGCCCTGTCACGGACATGCCACGGAAGCGACTCCTCGACTAGCCAATCAGCAGAAGCTTATCGGACAGTCCAGTCCAGTCGTGACTCGGCTAGTCGCTGCCCCCCACCCCCGTCGCTGCCGTGGGGAGCTTAAGCCGGTTCCCCCCCAGCACCGTCTGTAGGGGGGGCAAGGGTGTGGCAGGGGACCACGTACGAGTCGGGAATCAGCCGATTCCCAGCTCGCACCTGGTCCCCCCGCATGCTTCAGCCTTTTGAATGCAGGAAGAGCCTGCTGGCTCTTCGTACGTTTAAAGGGCAGAGCCGCAGCGGGGTCAGCGGTGGAGCCAGGAGCTTATCAACTAGTCGGTGGAAATTCCCTCGACTAGTCAGTGAGTTGATGAAACCCAATTTAACATCCCTAATGCCACGGCCAGGGGAGAGGTACCTCTCCCCCCAGCCCAGGAGCTGCTGCAGGCAGAGAGACTGGGGGGGCCCTGGCTCCTGGCTGTAGCTCCCAGGGAGCCTGTACCCCTCATCTCCAGGCCCACCCAAAGCCCACACCTGCAGCCAGTCTCCCCCCGCCCCATGCGCTCCAACTCCCAGCCCTGAAAGCCCCTCGGTGCCTCCCCGACCAAATGCATTTTGTCATGAGCAACAGCAAGGGTGTGACGGATGTGTGACCCTTCACCGCCATACGGGTGCACATAATAAAATTCATTCCGCACATGCGTGGGGGAAAACTAGAGGCTGCCCAGGCTGCACCAAGGGGTTCCAGCTCTTCAGGAAGTCCGTGGCTGCCCAGATCAACGTCAGTAGCAGACGAGTCCCCCCCAGTCCCTGAGGTGGGATCCTGAAGCCCCCTCTTACCTGCTGACGGGCGCTTGCCAGCTGCTCTTCCAGGGTCGTCACGCGCTCTAAGGCTGCTCGCAAGCGCTCTCTCACCTGCGGGCATTGGGAACAAGGGGACAGGCTGGTCCCTGCGGGAAGGGCCGGAAGAAGAGATTTCCAAGGAGCGCTTTGCTGTGCTAAGAGCCAAGCTGGCTTGGGACGGGGCAGAGTTCCTGCCCAGCCTGCAAAGAGCCGACAATCGCTAGGCCAGCCGGCCCGCCGAGCCCCCAGCCGAGGAGCCGGG